GCTCCACAACGCAGATCACTTCTAAATGGCTCTATAACAAAAACCAATGATAGAGTACTTGATAATTTAAATCTAATTGATAAAATAAGATTGTTTTTTAATTTGGATTTTTTCATGAATTAAGAACAGAGACAGAACATCTAGAAACAGGTGTGTTTAGAGATTGTTAGTTATGATTGGACAATTTAAGTCGCATTAATTGGCCAATCGAATTACATAAATTTACAGATACAACATGCATAATATATAGCGTGGATATATTGATCATTAATTAATGAATATCTGTGGTATAGGCGATGTTCGATTGTTGTAACTGATGCAATATTTTGCAACCACGACGCGATATATTTTGTCTCCTTACTTGTGATCTCTGTATTTATTTTTGATGGCAAGATTATTCTTGGATCTGGGGTCAACACTAAACATTTCAAATGTAGAATAAATAGGTATGTGCACATTCATTATTGTCGGGAAATTTTAACATAATAAATTCAAATTTACTTACTACATTGCAAATAATTAGAAAATATTTATCATGCGCTAGTCATAGATAAATTTTGTGTAAATAATTCGTCAATGCAAAACGTTTGATATTTGACAGTTATTAACGCAAAGAAGTAAAAATGACAATACGACTTTGGTAATATCATTATTTATCTGCAGTATTAACCGCAAATGGTCTTTACATATTACACTGCTATACCCTGAAGAAGTGAGTGACAGGTGGTTGCGTATGGATTGGGCGAGAGAACGGCTAAATGAGAATGTGTCTATCAACTTATTTAAAAAAACACGCTCTTTAAATGCGAGGTCATCCAAAATAACTATACATCTTATCATATTTCTATGTCACGATTACAATATATAGATATAATTAATTCTCTTACTTTTTCCATAATTTACACATTCGCTACATTTACAGTGGTCATCAGTGTTACCACACCAATTATTGGGAGAACAACATGGAAATTTTCCGTTTGGGTCGCACTCAGCTGGATCTTCTCCGTTCGGGGCTACATACCCTGCTCCACAACGCAGATCACTTCTAAATGGCTCTATAACAAAAACCAATGATAGAGTACTTGATAATTTAAATCTAATTGATAAAATAAGATTGTTTTTTAATTTGGATTTTTTCATGAATTAAGAACAGAGACAGAACATCTAGAAACAGGTGTGTTTAGAGATTGTTAGTTATGATTGGACAATTTAAGTCGCATTAATTGGCCAATCGAATTACATAAATTTACAGATACAACATGCATAATATATAGCGTGGATATATTGATCATTAATTAATGAATATCTGTGATATAGGCGATGTTCGATTGTTGTAACTGATGAAATATTTTGCAACCGCCAACCCCCACATGCGATATATTTTGTCTCCTTACTTGTGATCTCTGTATTTATTTTTGATGGCAAGATTATTCTTGGATCTGGGGTAAACACTAAACATTTCAAATGTAGAAAAATTAGGTATGTGAACATTCAGTATTGTCGGGAAATTTTAACATAATAAATTCAAATTTACTTACTACATTGCAAATAATTAGAAAATATTTATCATGCGCTAGTCATAGATAAATTTTGTGTAAATAATTCGTCAATGCAAAACTTTTGATATTTGACAGTTATTAACGCAAAGAAGTAAAAATGACAATACGACTTTGGTAATATCATTATTTATCTGCAGTATTAACCGCAAATGGTCTTTACATATTACACTGCTATACCCTGAAGAAGTGAGTGACAGGTGGTTGCGTGTGGATTGGGCGAGAGAACGGCTAAATGAGAATGTGTCTATCAACTTATTTAAAAAAACACGCTCTTTAAATGCGAGGTCATCCAAAATAACTATAAATCTTATCATATTCCTATGTCACGATTACAATATATAGATATAATTAATTCTCTTACTTTTTCCATAATTTACACATTCGCTACATTTACAGTGGTCATCAGTGTTACCACACCAATTATTGGGAGAACAACATGGAAATTTTCCGTTTGGGTCGCACTCAGCTGGATCTTCTCCGTTCGGGGCTACATACCCTGCTCCACAACGCAGATCACTTCTAAATGGCTCTATAACAAAAGCCAATGTTAGAGTACTTGATAATTTAAATCTAATTGATAAAATAAGATTGTTTTTTAATTTGGATTTTTTTCGTGAATTAAGAACAGAGACAGAACATCTAGAAACAGGTGTGTTTAGAGATTGTGAGGTATGATTGAACAATTTAAGTCGCATTAATTGGCCAATAGGATTACATAAATTTACAGATACAACATGCATAATATATAGCGTGGATATATTGATCATTAATTAATAAATATCTGTGATATAGGCGATGTTCGATTGTTGTAACTGATACAATATTTTGCAACCGCCGACCCCCACGACGCAATATATTTTGTCTCCTTACTTGTGATCTCTGTATTTATTTTTGATGGCAAGATTATTCTTGGATCTACACTACACATTTCAAATGTAGAAAAAATAGGTATGTGCACATTCAGTATTGTCGGGAAATTTTAACATAATAAATTCAAATTTACTTACTACATTGCAAATAATTAGCAAAATATTTATCATGCGCTAGTCATAGATAAATTTTGTGTAAATAATTCGTCAATGCAAAACGTTTGATATTTGACAGTTATTAACGCAAAGAAGTAACAATGACAATACGACTTTGGTAATATCATTATTTATCTGCAGTATTAACCGCAAATGGTCTTTACATATTACACTGCTATACCCTGAAGAAGTGAGTGACAGGTGGTTGCGTGTGGATTGGGCGAGAGAACGGCTAAATGAGAATGTGTCTATCAACTTATTTAAAAAAACACGCTCTTTAAATGCGAGGTCATCCAAAATAACTATAAATCTTATCATATTTCTATGTCACGATTACAATATATAGATATAATTAATTCTCTTACTTTTTCCATAATTTACACATTCGCTACATTTACAGTGGTCATCAGTGTTACCACACCAATTATTGGGAGAACAACATGGAAATTTTCCGTTTGGGTCGCACTCAGCTGGATCTTCTCCGTTCGGGGCTACATACCCTGCTCCACAACGCAGATCACTTCTAAATGGCTCTATAACAAAAGCCAATGTTAGAGTACTTGATAATTTAAATCTAATTGATAAAATAAGATTGTTTTTTAATTTGGATTTTTTTCGTGAATTAAGAACAGAGACAGAACATCTAGAAACAGGTGTGTTTAGAGATTGTGAGGTATAATTGAACAATTTAAGTCGCATTAATTGGCCAATAGGATTACATAAATTTACAGATACAACATGCATAATATATAGCGTGGATATATTGATCATTAATTAATAAATATCTGTGATATAGGCGATGTTCGATTGTTGTAACTGATACAATATTTTGCAACCGCCGACCCCCACGACGCAATATATTTTGTCTCCTTACTTGTGATCTCTGTATTTATTTTTGATGGCAAGATTATTCTTGGATCTACACTACACATTTCAAATGTAGAAAAAATAGGTATGTGCACATTCAGTATTGTCGGGAAATTTTAACATAATAAATTCAAATTTACTTACTACATTGCAAATAATTAGCAAAATATTTATCATGCGCTAGTCATAGATAAATTTTGTGTAAATAATTCGTCAATGCAAAACGTTTGATATTTGACAGTTATTAACGCAAAGAAGTAACAATGACAATACGACTTTGGTAATATCATTATTTATCTGCAGTATTAACCGCAAATGGTCTTTACATATTACACTACCATACCCTGAAGAAGTGAGTGACAGGTGGTTGCGTGTGGATTGGGCGAGAGAACGGCTGAATGAGAATGTGTCTATCAACTTATTTAAAAAACACGCAATTAAATGCGAGGTCATCCAAAATAACTATAAATCTTATCATATTTCTATGTCACGATGACAATATGTAGATATAATTAATTCTCTTACTTTTTCCATAATTTACACATTCGCTACATTTACAGTGGTCATCAGTGTTACCACACCAATTATTGGGAGAACAACATGGAAATTTTCCGTTTGGGTCGCACTCAGCTGGATCTTCTCCGTTCGGGGCTACATACCCTGCTCCACAACGCAGATCACTTCTAAATGGCTCTATAACAAAAACCAATGATAGAGTACTTGATAATTTAAATCTAATTGATAAAATAAGATTGTTTTTTAATTTGGATTTTTTCATGAATTAAGAACAGAGACAGAACATCTAGAAACAGGTGTGTTTAGAGATTGTTAGTTATGATTGGACAATTTAAGTCGCATTAATTGGCCAATCGAATTACATAAATTTACAGATACAACATGCATAATATATAGCGTGGATATATTGATCATTAATTAATGAATATCTGTGATATAGGCGATGTTCGATTGTTGTAACTGATACAATATTTTGCAACCGCCGACCCCCACGACGCAATATATTTTGTCTCCTTACTTGTGATCTCTGTATTTATTTTTGATGGCAAGATTATTCTTGGATCTGGGGTCAACACTAAACATTTCAAATGTAGAATAAATAGGTATGTGCACATTCAGTATTGTCGGGAAATTTTAACATAATAAATTCAAATTTACTTACTACATTGCAAATAATTAGAAAATATTTATCATGCGCTAGTCATAGATAAATTTTGTGTAAATAATTCGTCAATGCAAAACGTTTGATATTTGACAGTTATTAACGCAAAGAAGTAACAATGACAATACGACTTTGGTAATATCATTATTTATCTGCAGTATTAACCGCAAATGGTCTTTACATATTACACTACCATACCCTGAAGAAGTGAGTGACAGGTGGTTGCGTGTGGATTGGGCGAGAGAACGGCTAAATGAGAATGTGTCTATCAACTTATTTAAAAAAACACGCTCTTTAAATGCGAGGTCATCCAAAATAACTATAAATCTTATCATATTTCTATGTCACGATTACAATATATAGATATAATTAATTCTCTTACTTTTTCCATAATTTACACATTCGCTACATTTACAGTGGTCATCAGTGTTACCACACCAATTATTGGGAGAACAACATGGAAATTTTCCGTTTGGGTCGCACTCAGCTGGATCTTCTCCGTTCGGGGCTACATACCCTGCTCCACAACGCAGATCACTTCTAAATGGCTCTATAACAAAAGCCAATGTTAGAGTACTTGATAATTTAAATCTAATTGATAAAATAAGATATTTTTTTAATTTGGATTTTTTTCATGAATTAAGAACAGAGACAGAACATCTAGAAACAGGTGTGTTTAGAGATTGTGAGTTATGATTGAACAATTTAAGTCGCATTAATTGGCCAATATGATTACATAAATTTACAGATACAACATGCATAATATATAGCGTGGATATATTGATCATTAATTAATAAATATCTGTGATATAGGCGATGTTCGATTGTTGTAACTGATACAATATTTTGCAACCGCCGACCCCCACGACGCAATATATTTTGTCTCCTTACTTGTGATCTCTGTATTTATTTTTGATGGCAAGATTATTCTTGGATCTACACTACACATTTCAAATGTAGAAAAAATAGGTATGTGCACATTCAGTATTGTCGGGAAATTTTAACATAATAAATTCAAATTTACTTACTACATTGCAAATAATTAGCAAAATATTTATCATGCGCTAGTCATAGATAAATTTTGTGTAAATAATTCGTCAATGCAAAACGTTTGATATTTGACAGTTATTAACGCAAAGAAGTAACAATGACAATACGACTTTGGTAATATCATTATTTATCTGCAGTATTAACCGCAAATGGTCTTTACATATTACACTACCATACCCTGAAGAAGTGAGTGACAGGTGGTTGCGTGTGGATTGGGCGAGAGAATGGCTGAATGAGAATGTGTCTATCAACTTATTTAAAAAACACGCAATTAAATGCGAGGTCATCCAAAATAACTATAAATCTTATCATATTTCTATGTCACGATGACAATATGTAGATATAATTAATTCTCTTACTTTTTCCATAATTTACACATTCGCTACATTTACAGTGGTCATCAGTGTTACCACACCAATTATTGGGAGAACAACATGGAAATTTTCCGTTTGGGTCGCACTCAGCTGGATCTTCTCCGTTCGGGGCTACATACCCTGCTCCACAACGCAGATCACTTCTAAATGGCTCTATAACAAAAAACAATGATAGAGTACTTGATAATTTAAATCTAATTGATAAAATAAGATTGTTTTTTAATTTGGATTTTTTTCATGAATTAAGAACAGAGACAGAACATCTAGAAACAGGTGTGTTTAGAGATTGTCAGTTATGGTTGGACAATTTAAGTCGCATTAATTGGCCAATCGGATTACATAAATTTACAGATACAACATGCATAATATATAGCGTGGATATATTGATCATTAATTAATGAATATCTGTGATATAGGCGATGTTCGATTGTTGTAACTGATGAAATATTTTGCAACCGCCGACCCCCACATGCGATATATTTTGTCTCCTTACTTGTGATCTCTGTATTTATTTTTGATGGCAAGATTATTCTTGGATCTGGGGTAAACACTAAACATTTCAAATGTAGAAAAATTAGGTATGTGAGCATTCAGTATTGTCGGGAAATTTTAACATAATAAATTCAAATTTACTTACTACATTGCAAATAATTAGAAAATATTTATCATGCGCTAGTCATAGATAAATTTTGTGTAAATAATTCGTCAATGCAAAACTTTTGATATTTGACAGTTATTAACGCAATGAAGTAAAAATGACAATACGACTTTGGTAATATCATTATTTATCTGCAGTATTAACCGCAAATCGTCCTTACATATTACACTACTATACCCTGAAGAAGTGAGTGACAGGTGGTTGCGTGTGGATTGGGCGAGAGAACGGCTAAATGAGAATGTGTCTATCAACTTATTTAAAAAAACACGCTCTTTAAATGCGAGGTCATCCAAAATAACTATAAATCTTATCATATTTCTATGTCACGATTACAATATATAGATATAATTAATTCTCTTACTTTTTCCATAATTTACACATTCGCTACATTTACAGTGGTCATCAGTGTTACCACACCAATTATTGGGAGAACAACATGGAAATTTTCCGTTTGGGTCGCACTCAGCTGGATCTTCTCCGTTCGGGGCTACATACCCTGCTCCACAACGCAGATCACTTCTAAATGGCTCTATAACAAAAGCCAATGTTAGAGTACTTGATAATTTAAATCTAATTGATAAAATAAGATATTTTTTTAATTTGGATTTTTTTCATGAATTAAGAACAGAGACAGAACATCTAGAAACAGGTGTGTTTAGAGATTGTGAGGTATGATTGAACAATTTAAGTCGCATTAATTGGCCAATAGGATTACATAAATTTACAGATACAACATGCATAATATATAGCGTGGATATATTGATCATTAATTAATAAATATCTGTGATATAGGCGATGTTCGATTGTTGTAACTGATACAATATTTTGCAACCGCCGACCCCCACGACGCAATATATTTTGTCTCCTTACTTGTGATCTCTGTATTTATTTTTGATGGCAAGATTATTCTTGGATCTACACTACACATTTCAAATGTAGAAAAAATAGGTATGTGCACATTCAGTATTGTCGGGAAATTTTAACATAATAAATTCAAATTTACTTACTACATTGCAAATAATTAGCAAAATATTTATCATGCGCTAGTCATAGATAAATTTTGTGTAAATAATTCGTCAATGCAAAACGTTTGATATTTGACAGTTATTAACGCAAAGAAGTAACAATGACAATACGACTTTGGTAATATCATTATTTATCTGCAGTATTAACCGCAAATGGTCTTTACATATTACACTACCATACCCTGAAGAAGTGAGTGACAGGTGGTTGCGTGTGGATTGGGCGAGAGAACGGCTGAATGAGAATGTGTCTATCAACTTATTTAAAAAACACGCAATTAAATGCGAGGTCATCCAAAATAACTATAAATCTTATCATATTTCTATGTCACGATGACAATATGTAGATATAATTAATTCTCTTACTTTTTCCATAATTTACACATTCGCTACATTTACAGTGGTCATCAGTGTTACCACACCAATTATTGGGAGAACAACATGGAAATTTTCCGTTTGGGTCGCACTCAGCTGGATCTTCTCCGTTCGGGGCTACATACCCTGCTCCACAACGCAGATCACTTCTAAATGGCTCTATAACAAAAACCAATGATAGAGTACTTGATAATTTAAATCTAATTGATAAAATAAGATTGTTTTTTAATTTGGATTTTTTTTCATGAATTAAGAACAGAGACAGAACATCTAGAAACAGGTGTGTTTAGAGATTGTCAGTTATGGTTGGACAATTTAAGTCGCATTAATTGGCCAATCGGATTACATAAATTTACAGATACAACATGCATAATATATAGCGTGGATATATTGATCATTAATTAATGAATATCTGTGATATAGGCGATGTTCGATTGTTGTAACTGATGAAATATTTTGCAACCGCCAACCCCCACATGCGATATATTTTGTCTCCTTACTTGTGATCTCTGTATTTATTTTTGATGGCATGATTATTCTTGGATCTGGGGTAAACACTAAACATTTCAAATGTAGAAAAATTAGGTATGTGAACATTCAGTATTGTCGGGAAATTTTAACATAATAAATTCAAATTTACTTACTACATTGCAAATAATTAGAAAATATTTATCATGCGCTAGTCATAGATAAATTTTGTGTAAATAATTCGTCAATGCAAAACTTTTGATATTTGACAGTTATTAACGCAAAGAAGTAAAAATGACAATACGACTTTGGTAATATCATTATTTATCTGCAGTATTAACCGCAAATGGTCTTTACATATTACACTGCTATACCCTGAAGAAGTGAGTGACAGGTGGTTGCGTGTGGATTGGGCGAGAGAACGGCTAAATGAGAATGTGTCTATCAACTTATTTAAAAAAACACGCTCTTTAAATGCGAGGTCATCCAAAATAACTATAAATCTTATCATATTTCTATGTCACGATTACAATATATAGATATAATTAATTCTCTTACTTTTTCCATAATTTACACATTCGCTACATTTACAGTGGTCATCAGTGTTACCACACCAATTATTGGGAGAACAACATGGAAATTTTCCGTTTGGGTCGCACTCAGCTGGATCTTCTCCGTTCGGGGCTACATACCCTGCTCCACAACGCAGATCACTTCTAAATGGCTCTATAACAAAAAACAATGATAGAGTACTTGATAATTTAAATCTAATTGATAAAATAAGATTGTTTTTTAATTTGGATTTTTTCATGAATTAAGAACAGAGACAGAACATCTAGAAACAGGTGTGTTTAGAGATTGTTAGTTATGATTGGACAATTTAAGTCGCATTAATTGGCCAATCGAATTACATAAATTTACAGATACAACATGCATAATATATAGCGTGGATATATTGATCATTAATTAATGAATATCTGTGATATAGGCGATGTTCGATTGTTGTAACTGATGCAATATTTTGCAACCAGGACGCGATATATTTTGTCTCCTTACTTGTGATCTCTGTATTTATTTTTGATGGCAAGATTATTCTTGGATCTGGGGTCAACACTAAACATTTCAAATGTAGAATAAATAGGTATGTGCACATTCAGTATTGTCGGGAAATTTTAACATAATAAATTCAAATTTACTTACTACATTGCAAATAATTAGAAAATATTTATCATGCGCTAGTCATAGATAAATTTTGTGTAAATAATTCGTCAATGCAAAACTTTTGATATTTGACAGTTATTAACGCAAAGAAGTAAAAATGACAATACGACTTTGGTAATATCATTATTTATCTGCAGTATTAACCGCAAATGGTCTTTACATATTACACTGCTATACCCTGAAGAAGTGAGTGACAGGTGGTTGCGTGTGGATTGGGCGAGAGAACGGCTAAATGAGAATGTGTCTATCAACTTATTTAAAAAAACACGCTCTTTAAATGCGAGGTCATCCAAAATAACTATAAATCTTATCATATTTCTATGTCACGATTACAATATATAGATATAATTAATTCTCTTACTTTTTCCATAATTTACACATTCGCTACATTTACAGTGGTCATCAGTGTTACCACACCAATTATTGGGAGAACAACATGGAAATTTTCCGTTTGGGTCGCACTCAGCTGGATCTTCTCCGTTCGGGGCTACATACCCTGCTCCACAACGCAGATCACTTCTAAATGGCTCTATAACAAAAGCCAATGTTAGAGTACTTGATAATTTAAATCTAATTGATAAAATAAGATATTTTTTTAATTTGGATTTTTTTCATGAATTAAGAACAGAGACAGAACATCTAGAAACAGGTGTGTTTAGAGATTGTGAGGTATGATTGAACAATTTAAGTCGCATTAATTGGCCAATAGGATTACATAAATTTACAGATACAACATGCATAATATATAGCGTGGATATATTGATCATTAATTAATAAATATCTGTGATATAGGCGATGTTCGATTGTTGTAACTGATGCAATATTTTGCAACCGCCGACCCCCACGACGCAATATATTTTGTCTCCTTACTTGTGATCTCTGTATTTATTTTTGATGGCAAGATTATTCTTGGATCTACACTACACATTTCAAATGTAGAATAAATAGGTATGTGCACATTCAGTATTGTCGGGAAATTTTAACATAATAAATTCAAATTTACTTACTACATTGCAAATAATTAGAAAATATTTATCATGCGCTAGTCATAGATAAATTTTGTGTAAATAATTCGTCAATGCAAAACGTTTGATATTTGACAGTTATTAACGCAAAGAAGTAAAAATGACAATACGACTTTGGTAATATCATTATTTATCTGCAGTATTAACCGCAAATGGTCTTTACATATTACACTACCATACCATGAAGAAGTGAGTGACAGGTGGTTGCGTGTGGATTGGGCAAGAGAACGGCTGAATGAGAATGTGTCTATCAACTTAATTAAAAAAAACGCTCTTTAAATGCGAGGTCATCCAAAATAAATATAAATCTTATCATATTTCTATGTCACGATTACAATATATAGATATAATTAATTCTCTTACTTTTTCCATAATTCACACATTCGCTACATTTACAGTGGTCATCAGTGTTACCACACCAATTATTGGGAGAACAACATGGAAATTTTCCGTTTGGGTCGCACTCAGCTGGATCTGCTCCGTTCGGGGCTACATACCCTGCTCCACAACGCAGATCACTTCTAAATGATTCTGTAACCAAAAACAATGTTAGGGTACGTTCTAGCAAGAACATTTGTATCGCAACAGAAAATATCCACAACACAGAAGTCAAACAAATTCATGTGTACAAAAAGCTTGATATTTGAAAAAAAAATGTTTCGCACGCTATTTATTTATTGACATCAAATCACCCAGAAATAAAGTATTAAAAACTACTTTTTTATATTATTAGTAAGTGACATTCA